TAAGAGTAGAACAATACTTGTGTGTGAAGTCTCTCTATACTATAGTTATAAACTCTACCATTTAATGACTTTTTTTATAAAATAAGAGTGACAAACGGGCATACAGACCACCTGATCGTTAGTAGATGTGGTAGAAGCAGATTCGTTGTCATCCCTGGTGACCAAGATGGAATGCCAAGTTTCCAGTAAAAGAGACTACAGTTCTCTTTACGGCAGCATTAAGCTATTATTTTACGCTGGTGTTCTGATAGGGTTTGGTCCCGGTTGAGCCGACCCTATCGTGCTACAACATAATATAACTGCAGCGTGGCTCCACCACACGAATGTTTGCCATAATACCACCTATAATGCCTTTTTTATTTTATTAGCGCTCCACCCCGTCTTCGGAAGGGTGATTTCTGATTCTTCCTGGATGGTTTAAATTTACAAATGTTGTAAATTTAAACCAAGAAAACCCACTCAAACACACGCAACAGGTTTCATCAGAATCAGTTTCACTAGCACTTCGCCCCAGCCCCGCACACAGCGCCACCTACCGGGTTCACTTGTAAATTTAGCCCATCCAGGAACCCACTGAAATACACACATTTGTTAAGGATTTGGGCGTATATTTCGATTCAAAATTTTCGTTTCGTCCAGATTATGAGTACATAAGGCAAAAAAGTTTCAAAACCTTAGAGTTTATAATTTGTGTAACAAAAAATTGCTCCAAACTTGTCGCATCATTACGATTATTTTATACTTTAGTTCGTACTGTACTGGAGTATGCTTCCACTGTGTGGTCACCCTTTTATAAGGTACATTCTGACAATATTGAGAGGGTGCAGAGTTGTTTCCTTCGCAGTGTTTGCGGTAGATATGGTCACTTGCGTCGTCTACCATCATACGACTCTCAACTAAAGTTTTTCAATGTCCAGCGATTATCTTTAAGGAGACAATTTGCCGAGCAAGTTTTTTTGCACACGATTGTGCATTCTTTGTTGTTGTTAAAATGTGCCGCGATTACGACGAGATTAAGCGTAGTAACGTACCTACATCTAGATATATTCGATAGTAGCCTGGTTAGATTTAAAAGAAACTTACGTGTTTCTCTTAACATTTTAATGTATTTGTTATCTGTTTTATTTTTGCTAAGACTAAGATTATACTGCAGTTATATTATTATGCTGTGTACACATATTCGAAGTGGAAGACGCCTAAATGCTAAATCGCAATGTCTTAGTGGAACAAAAACCTATTCACTCTTGATTGATTACAATCTCAGCGTCTTGAAGACGTTTAGATTGTAACTAAACGGAAAGACAGACGTCGATAGATCATTCCTTATTAATTACCAAATCGCTTAAGCCACATTACACGACGTTCCAATTATACAAAGTTATATATGCGATATAATCACGGTTACATTTCACTGTGATTATTGTATAACCGGAAAAGCGGTGAAGGAATATAGCTACTTTTACCATGAATTAGTATTAGCGGCGATATAATAACATTAAAACTGGTGTACATTCAAGTATTAGTCGTGTCCGAGAAGAAAGAACTGAGAAAATATGTTCTCGAAGGACTTTTCATCCACAATTTCTTTCGGGTACTCCTCTCAAGAAGAAAATGTTTTATAATAGATATAAGGCGAACAAATAAAAGACCCGTGTAAGTATAGATAGGGTGTCAGAATATCCGCTGCCCCGTACTGTGTCCTGGGTGTCATAAGAGGCGACAGAGGGAAACATCCTGTGGGAGTGCCAGCAGTTCAGCCGTCCCAGTAGCACCTGTAAAATGAAAAGAAACTGTGGTTGCCAGCACACCCGCCAAGCGTGGCCACATTGGAAATCCCCCCCCCCCCACCAATGCTATTTTGTATGTTATGTCTTTGTCATAATATCTATATATACTAGTGTAAAATAGCAGCATAACGGTGTTGTGTTTCGTATGGCGTGTGTAGAGAACCGGAGACACTTTTTTACTGGAAACGAGGCATTTTATCTTAGTCTTCGAGGGTGACAAAGCATTTGCATTTCGATTTTTAATCGAATATAGATGGACAACCACATCTACTTACCATCAGATGAACAGTGCGCTCATTTGTCACCCCTATTTCTACAGAAAAAAAGTAGTTAATTTAAAAATTTGTACAACGGAATTCAATATAATTAAAAAAGAACATCATCAATGTTAGAAGAAAACTAAATGCACGTTATTAAACATAAGACAAAAACTACTAGTAAGTTCTTGATTAAATTTATATGGAACTACACAAAAATTACCAGGTTTCAGATAAAAAAAGAATCTTTAAAATTGGTTCACTCAGGGAAAAGTTCTGAGGTCACACATAAATAAAAACATACAGTCAAATTGAAAACCTCCTTGTTTTTGAATTCGGTCAAAAATAAACACTTACTAGGGCTTCTTTTCTACCTAGTGGTCGGTCTTGGTGAATACCACTCTCACACTTAAATCTGCCAAACATAACAGACTGTTAAGCATTCCATTCTTGAGCTGACAGTGCATTTGTAGTGTGATGTAGGTGTCCTTTTTCACATTGTTGGCAGATGTCTACATCTGCCAACAATGTGAAAAAGTAATATATAAAGTAATATATAAATTACAGTAGCAACCTACCATCAGGTGGACTGTGACTACGTTTGTTAGCCTCTATTAAAAAAAAACTAGCTGACCTGTTTGTAGCCGCGGTACATAAGCTTGATCTCGTGCGCAGTGAACCCGAGGCACGCGCTCGGGACGGTACCGACGCTTAAATTTTTAAGCTATTGCGTAGATTTTATCGCGGGCTTTGAGCGCGGCGACCGAATCAAGAAATTCCGTAACGAAAATAAACCTAAGACCTGAAAACCCAACATCGTCTAACGTCGTTTAATTTCGGCAGACTTCGGTCTATATTTGGTGGTAAGTAAATGTTGCAGTATATATACACGCACGCGTATATACGCACCTGATACCAAACTCAAACAAAGCAGATAGCAGATGTGTTATCACCTCTGAAGTATCAGCACAGCGGATTCTTTTGGGCCGTAACTCTTTCAGAAAGTAGATAGTAATGAGACTTTAGTTCTTTTATTGAACAATTTGATGAAAAGGTGACGTATTGAAGTATCAATAGTCGTGTACGATACATGCAGCTGAAGTCGCACACTAATATTAAAAATTATAGATTTATAAAATGAATCAAAAATTCCTAAAAGTTTATAATAATATACTGTACATAATATATAAAGCATACATATATTTCCACCCGCGCAGTGGTGGTTTAAGAGTATCTACTTCCCTATGTCGTCTAGCGGGTATTGTAAGAGGCGACGGAGGAAAATAAGTCAAGTGGCAGCCGCGTCTTACTAATAATAAAAAACTGCGGTTGCCAATCCGCCTGCTGATCGTGGCAACTGTGGCAACTAACTACCCTGTAATAATCAATGGGAGAGGAATTATTTCCTACCCAGCACTCTGTCAGTGTCAGTACTACACTGTTACTAACTTCTGCCGTCAAACAACAGCACTGGTGCACTGCTGTGTTCTGGTATAAATGGTAAAGAGAACCAGTTCACTACATGCTGTGAGGCGTTACATCTTAGTGCCAAGGGGCACAATGCACCTGTAAGTTTATTTCTATGATGTAATCCGTGTATGTGTGTGTTTGTGAACTTTGCGGCAGTGTTGTTAGGACTAGTGTTGCTGGTGATAGTGCAGGAAATTGAGGGAGAGTGGGAAGTGATCTTAAAACTAAATAGTATACACACACACATCATTCTTTTTTTTAAACGGTTTTATTTAGCTCACCCCGTTTGTTTTATTTATTATTCTTGGGTCAAATTTAGTAATTCAAATTTCACCCTCTTCCTGTCAACCGATTAATCTGAAATTTTGTATACACTTTGGATTTTGGGGACAATACAATTATGTTTATTCATTATCATTATAAATTCAAGATGGCCGCCGCTACAAAATGGCGGATAATTTATGTTTTATTAATCCCATCAATATGGGTATCAAATGAAAGGGCTCAACAAGCAGAATACAATATACTATAAAAAATTGAAATACAAGATGGCGGCCGCTACAAAATGGCGGATAACGTAGGTTTTATTAATCCCATCGATATGGGTATCAAATGAAAGTGCTCAACCAGTATAATACAATGTACTATATAAAATTAAAATCCAAGATGGCGGCCTCTACAAAATGGCGGATAACTTAGGTTTTATCAATCCCATCAACATGGGTATCAAATGAAAGGTCTCAACAAGTAGAATACAATTTACTATGCAAAATTGAAATCTAAGATGGCCGCCGCTACCAAATGGCTGATAACAATTTTTTATCAATCCGACCAATATGGGTATCAAATAAAAGGGCTTGACAAGAAGAATACAGTGCACTATACAACCTCAATATTTAATATGGGCGCAGCCACCAAATGGCGTATAATAATAAGATTTAAATTTAGAAATTGAATCTGTAATTTAGGTATCTGATTAATCCAGCCTGAATCCACCACCCAAGTCAAGATTTTGTATCGTGTTGAGGACTGTGTGGCGTTAGGGTGGCTAAAAATGATACGTCGTTAGCGGTACACCACCCAAGTTAAGGTGAAAGGTTAAAACGCTCCGAAAACTGTATGGCATTAGGGTGGATAAAAATGATATGTCGTTTGCGTTTTCCCCTCAAGACTCAGGCGCATTTTGTTGTACATAGCCTTGCCCCTTTATTGGACCTCTGGGGGGGTCGACCGTTTAAATGTCCATTACTCGTGGGAACGAAATGGTAAAAAAAATATAAAAAATACAAACACAAATAAAACAGAAACTGCAACACAACGTAAACGAAGGTTTCAAAAAGCGAAAGAAAAGTATAAAGCAAAACGAGCTAAAGAAAGTGAAGGTGATAAAAATAGTTGATTACAGAAACGACGGGAACAATTAGCGTCAAAAACACCTGAGAAATATGAGGCCAGGTTAAAAAAGCAACGTCAGCGATATACACAAATGACGGCGTCAGAAACGCCTGAAGAATATGAAGCCAGGTTAACAAAGCAACGTGAGCGATACACACAGATGATAGCGTCAGAAACGCCTGAAGAATATGAAGCCAGGTTAACAAAACAACGGGAGCGATACACACAGATGATAGCGTCAGAAACGCCTGAAGAATATGAAGCCAGGTTAACAAAACAACGGGAGCGATATACACAGATGGTAGCGTCAGAAACGCCTGAAGAATATGAAGTTAGATTAATACAAAGCCGTGAAAGACAAAGACAGCAGTTGGGTTCAGAAACGCCTGAACATCGCGATACGAGGTTAAATAAACAACGAGAGCGTACCCAGCAATGCAGAGCTAATAATCTGCAGGCATTCGAGAATGCTATTAACACAATTTGTATACATGTTTGTGATATTTGTACCAAACGTTGTTATCCTAATCAAGTTCGTACAGTTCGGTACAACGCTGCTGCATTAACATACTTACCTGTGGAGTTAACTTCGAAAATATCATTGTTATTATGTTCCCGCTGTCAAACACATGTTACTAGTAATAAAACAACAGCACCACCAAAAGCTTACTGGAATAATCTGGATCCAGGTTCTATACCAGACGTTATTCAAACATTGACACAGGCGGAACAACGTTTGCTGTGCAGAATAATTCCCTTTGTTAAAATCATGAAATTTAGTGGCCTCTATGGACAGTACGGTTTTCGCGGACAGGCAGTTTTATTTGCCCAAGATATCTTTGAAGTCAGTGAAAGACTGCCTAGTATGCTACCAAGGTCTTCAAGCCAGGTAGGCATTATTGTAGTAACCGAACGATTAGAAAATTTGAACATCACCAGGGAATTCACAATATGTCGCGAAAAAAGTCTATAGTGCTTTAAGACGGTTAATCAGAAATAACCCGCTTTACAAAGATGTACGTATTGACGACAATGCCCAAATTAGTGACCAGGAGTTAGTACGACTTGGTGTGCCCGAATTGTCTGAAGATGAAGCGTCCGAAAGGAATGAAAATGAAATTCGAAATGCATTCATTCCAATTAATAATGTTGCAAGAATTATTCGAGCTTCATGGCATCAAGGTGACTACAACATCTTTACTTCGCGATATGCTAGTGTACAATGTAGTGCTATGTCGTTGGCGAACATTGTCCGAGCTGCAATCCTAAGCCCTAATCAATGGGACGTCAATATTCTGAATGCTAATATGTTAGCGGGTGACTCCTTATATTGCTGGATTCGTACCCAGCTTGATCCTACTGAACTGGATAAAACAGGATATTTAGAGATACGAAACTTTCATATCGTCAGGCAAAGTTTACAAATGTATGAATGCCGATTTTCTATAGAATATGATGAAGACACTCTTTTATTCGGGAGTCTCCAAGATTCTGTAAATACCAATAATATCGGCATTACATTACATACAGCTTTAAATAGATTATTTGATAGTCATTCTTCAGGAATATTGACAGCGTCAAATAAATCTGTTAGCGTATTTCGCGGTGAAGACAAATACTATTTTGCTGACTCCCATTCTTGTGGCCCAAAAAGGAAAACCAACACCAGAAAATGGCAAAGCCTGTGTTATAGAATGCGACAACTTACAAGAACTGTGCCGCATCTGTAAAAGATGCCTCGGATCCCGTAATATCGCGTACACCCTTACACGCGTAGACGTACATTTGAGGGAAAATATTATCACTCGTCAGGGTGTTCAAGTACAGCAACAGGAAGATGCCATCACTCATCAGGATGTACAAGTACAATACGTTTATTAGGTGCTGATGTTAGATTTCAGCTCAACGATTACCTATTCTATGCTCTATCAATGTTTGAGTACTATCGAGTTAAATCAACCATTGCAGCTTGTGCTAGAAAAGTTGAAGGTGAAAACGGCAATCGAGTGGAAGACCTGCACTTATATTTAAAAAATCTAAGAGGTTCCGCTGCTTATTGGCGTAGTGCTCTTAGTGATCTTATAGCACAAATCAGATGTTTAGGACCTCCCACTTATTTTGTTACATTGAGCTACAATGATCTTCACTGGAAGGATATGAAAAGAGGTCTCCTTGTTAGTGATGGTAAACAGCACATTGACCCAGATGACATAGATATTCAGGAAACTCAGAGACTCATCGAGATGTATCCAGTTGTTGTGAGTAGACATTTTATGGTACGTGTTAATGCGCTAATGCAGTTTCTTAAAACTGATACTGAAATATTTGGCGGTAAAGTTAAAGATCATGGGTGGCGAATCGAGTTTCAGAACAGAGGAAGTCCTCATTTGCATATGGTTGTTTGGATCGAAGATCACCCGTCTGTTGCGACACCTGAAGGAATAGCTCGCATTGATTCAGTTTGTAGTACTGCCATTCCTCCAGAAACTTCAGAACTATATGAATTAGTTAAAAATTGTTAAATACATCGACACACTAGTACCTGCACGAAAAATAATTCTGTTTGTCGTTTCAACTTTCCACGCTCGGAATGCTTAGAGACACATGTTATTGATCCTTCATCTAACGAATTCATCTACAACGGTGGTCGCATTTGCGTTCTGAAAAGAAAAAGTGAAGATGGTTGGGTAAATAATTACAGTCCTGCTTTGCTAAAAATGTGGAAAGCCAATATGGATATACAATCGTGTGGTACAAATGAGTCGATTGCGTATTACATCGCTAAATACGTGTCAAAATCAGAACCTACAAACCTAGATGGTGAAGTATCTCGAGCTATTCAACAAATTAGAAGAGAAGAAACTGACGTCTCGCGTAAGCTGTTTAAAATATGTATGCGCATATTAAGAGAACGTCAAGTTTCAGCCTGCGAATGCGTATTCAGGCTATGCCATTTGAGTATGCGTGACAGCTCGAGAAAAACAATTTTTGTCAATACTCGTAAAGCGAAACAAAGGTATAAAGTGTTGAAGTTTAATGAAGCTGGTCAAGCAGCAGGATATTGTGCCAATATTTTCGAACGATATGAAAAGCGACCAGCAGAGCATCCCAACTATGATTTTAACAATATGTGTCTCATAGAATTTGCGATGTTATTTGAGCCACACTACACAAAACCGCCAGTTATAAATGAAGAGAGCATCGATACCGATGCTTATGCACCGCACGAGCAAACAACAAGAAGGCGTCTTATAACTTTAACAGACAACACCAAAATGACTATTAGAAACACGCCAGCTGTAGTACGGGTACCTAACTTCGTAGCAGCTTCTGATCCAGAGTCATATTATTATAGTTTACTAATCCAGTATATGCCGTATCGCAATGGGGCCGAACTTTTAGGAGAATTTAATAGTGCCAGAGATGCGTTTCTCGCCAACGAAGAAAGTTTAAGCCAAACAAACGCCTACTTGAAAATATATCGTGAACGTGACAGGCAGCTTGAAAATGCATTCGCGCAAGTACACGCATTTCAGATACTGGAACACGCAGAGCCGATGGAACTAGACCATGAGAAGATGTTCCTTATTTGCCAATGAATGAAGACCAGTTCTTACAGGCTAAGCAGTCTATGAATGCAGGACAAAAGGAAATTTTTACATTAGTTACCCAGTCCATACAAAATCAAATGTCAGGTGCTGAAGAACGTTTAAAAATATTCTTTACAGGAGGAGCTGGTGTGGGCAAGACTTTTCTATTAAAGTTATTACGAGACCAAATTAATAGGTGCTACGCAAAGGATGCGGTTAAAGTCTGCTCACTAACAGGAGTTGCAGCTAGATTAATAAATGGAGCTACGATACACAGTACTTTAAAATTGCCTGTACAGAAAGACGGTCGCATAACAGGTATGTCACCACTGTCCGGAAACTATTTGCGAATAATGAGGCAACAATGGCATCAGACAGAATTTTTGATTTTCGACGAGATTTCCATGGTGTCTTATCAAATGTTATGCATGACGGACGCTCGATTAAGGCAAATTAAGAACTGTGAAAATGAGTTTTTTTGGAGGAGTAAACGTATTACTTTTCGGTGATCTTTTACAACTGCCTCCTATAAAACGATCAGGAACACCTGTTTTCAAACAGCCAGAACATCTCCAACCAGCTACACATCTCTGGCGTTTATTCACGTTGTGTGAATTAAATGAAAATATGCGTCAGCAAGGTGACCAGACTTTTATTGATATTTTGAATGCTTTGAGAGTCGGTGAGCTAACAACCCAACATTTTAGTATTTTAATGGGAAGACTTCTTCAAGACACGAGTGATGAGTTTGCAATAGACAAAGCGTTAAGGGTATACCCCACAAATCAACAAGTTAACGACCACAACTCTGCTGTATTGAATTTGTATAGAAATAATGGTGCTCGCATTTACAAAATAAAAGCGCAGGATCAGCTAGTACACGCCACACGAAATGCAGACAATGTGGATATAGCTACTATAATACCAGCTGATATCAACAAAACTGGGGGTTTACCAGCGGAACTGCAAATATTTGTGGGGGCAAAAGTCATGCTACGGTCCAATATTGACGTTTCAAAGGGATTAGTAAATGGCGCTATAGGCTACATCAACGAAATCGTTTGGCCTCAATTTCGTCGAACTCAGATGTATGCAACAGATGTACCTTCCGTCCGAATTGATTTCGCAAGAGACGGAGTACATCTTATACACCCGAAAGCCATACAGTTTCCAGCTAAGTACAATTACGGGACGGCTGAAAGAAGAATGTTGCCTTTAATATAACTATCATGGGCTTCTACAATACATAAAATGCAGGGCAGCACTGTGGATCACGCAGTCGTATACTTAGGTGCGAAACTGTTTGAAGAAGGTCAAGCCTACGTGGCTCTTAGTAGAGTAAGATCTTTGCAGGGACTACGTATAGAGGAGTTGGACTGCAATAAACTAACGGGCAAGAAATGAAGCACTAAATGAATTAAACAGAGTGCGAAATAAAAACTAAAAACTAGAAAATAAAAATAGGTAAAAAAACTTTTTAAGTTAAACGGTTTTATGTTAAACATACATTGCAATGTTTAAGATAAATGTACTAAAAACCAAAAAATAATAAAATAGATACAGTCGTGGGAATTATAAACATATGCATAGACTAGACTAAAATAAAACCGTGGGGCACGTCAATTGTCTACAATCGTTGATTAAAATGTTTGTTTTGTAATGTTACACTTTAATTAGGCAGTTGTGCAACCGACAACGATGGACGTGTGATAAGTAGGGCTAGAATGTGGAAACAAGCTAGCAAGCTCGATTATAAGCGAGTTTTAGGGTTTCATAGTGGTGAACGAGTAGTACTTTTATCAAATGTTTTGTCGATTAAAGACAAACTACGAGCAGTGAAACGATTCCTCGCCAGCCAGCAGTGTGAATGTCCAACGATAAACTAGTTGAAACATCTCTTTTATTTACATGGAGTGTATAACTATTGGAATTTCCATGAGCAAGAAAATAGTAAGTAATTTCCTCACCGTCTGCGGGCCAACTGCCTATTTTAACGACGAATTAAACGATTCTTCTATCGCACATTAAGTCGATAATTTGTAGACAATGGACGTCCCCCACGGTTTTATTTTAGTCTAGTCTATGCATATGTTTATAATTCCCACGACTGTATCTATTTTATTATTTTTTGGTTTTTAGTACATTTATCTTAAAAATTGCAATGTATGTTTAACATAAAACCGTTTAACTTAAAAAGTTTTTTTACCTATTTTTATTAACGCAAATCTTAGCTATTTAATTGTAACATTATTAATGTAATGGACTTCCCCAAAGAAATTCCTGATTCAATTTATTAAAAGATATAACTGTTAAATTCGGATCACAATTGACGAAGGTGTGATGTAACATGTAACATATGAACGAAAAATACACACAAACATATACAGTGAAATTATATAGGTCTTATTTTTAAGTCGACTTACAAAACGATGTTTTATAAAGATAAAGAGACTTCGTTCTTGATCATAGAAATATTAAAAACAGGAGAAGTGGCAAAGGGGCGTGTCTGTGTCCGCGCGCTGTGATCAAATTGCTCAGCTTCTATACAAATGGCCGTCTCTGCGAATTAGTGCGCTTGCGACCACGGGGGTCAAGTCTCTATGGAGACGATGCAAACGTCGGGCAAAATAAGCGAAACAGAGACAACGCCATACGCTAGAGCTAGACAGAGAAATCACTATTGATGCTTTGCTTTGCAATATGGCGGATTATTGAAAGCGCTAAACGTACTTTGAAATATTTTTATTTCTATAGCATGATCCACACCTTCTGATCCTATCCGATCCGATCCTAATTATCGGATGAAATCGGATAATGTACTGTGCAACAGGTCCTAATTTTACTATTATTATTACGAAATCGGAGAGTCGGATGTTCCGACCGTCCTTTTTCTAAAATCGGATCCTAAATCGGACGGTGTATAGAACCATTCGTCCGATAAAACGTCACAGTCACACACGACCAGCGTTCCAGTTCAGACGTGTACCTACTCGCGCGCATTGAAATGTCATCGGACGGGGAAAGCGAAGCGAAAGCGGAATCTCAAAGTCGCTATTCAGTACTTACTGCTTCTCGCAAAATAGTATTTTGCTTTTGGATAAATGGGCGTACCATACTCAGTAATTGAGAAAAACACTCTTCGTTCATCCTTAAATACGTCCGAAAATGTTTAGACCTTAAAACCTTAATCATTTTTAGAGTAAACCTTTTTCTCTGTTGTAAATTTCTTCAGCCCATAAGCTTCTCTTTTCCTCCTTTTTTGTGTATCCACGACGGTACTTGATATTGCTACTCCTACAATCTTTTGTAGTTTAGACAACGTAGGAGCCATGTCAATCACGTCTGCACAGTCACCGCTAAAAGCCGATCTGATTTTAAGGAAGCACATCGGAAAGTGTGTAGATAATGACTCCGATTTAGGATTTCCGACAAATAGGATAGGATCAGAAGGTGTGGATCATGCTTATTGTATATTTCTTTGCTTTTATAGCATGTGCCTGAAGATTTTTACGAGATAGAGACTCATTATTTCGTGCTACTGTGTTTTTGTTTTGTGTGCCCGCTGAACGCTTAGAGATAGAGACTCATTTCCTTATATTATTATTTGGTGTTTGTAATTCTTTTTGCCTGGACAATTTTACGAGATATAGACTCATTTCTTTTTTTGTTTTGTGTAGGTGTGTCTGAGCATTATTTGTTAATATGTCACGCCATACGCGCTATGAACGAAAAAGAAAGTGTGCAAAGTGTAACATCACTGCCACAGAAGATGGAAACTTGAGTTTCCACAGATTTCCTCTACCTGGTAGACATACATTTTTAAAGTAAGTAACTAAGCTATTCTAATTTTTTGTTACTTTTTCTCTCATTATCTTAAGTTAAATAGTAATTTAAGTACCTAGTACTTAATGTTTTTAACATTCATAATGTTCATAACATAGTAAACATAATGTTCATAACATAAATTTTTCATTGCTGGGCACATGCCTCCCCCAAGGGTCACCATAACGACCAGACCTGTGTGTCTCGCATCCATCTGCTACCCGTGACCCTTACCAGGTTATTGGTCTTATCTTGTAGAAGGCCTTCCAAACTGTGATCAAAACTACACTTAGATTTTAAAAAACAATAATTTCAGGGCACGTGTATGGGCTGAATACTGTTACCCTACTGGAGAGTGGTCAACTGAGAAATCACTAAGAGACTTGCACTTGCAGCACAAAATGTTATGCAGTAAACACTTTGATGACTTCTCATTCACTAACAATGCGAGGATAAGATTGCACAATTTTGCCATCCCAACTGGGACACAGGATTTAATGGTAAAGATTCGCCAGGAACAATGTGCAACTGCAAGTGAAAGTAAACAAGATACAAATATCTCAGTTGAAAAACCTCAAGTAAGTAAACATTAATTACTATATTACTCAAAACTCCATCAATCATTAAGCTTGATATGTGGTTGGAATTTATAAGTACAGTCAAACAAATACTTAAGCTAAAACTCACAGAAAGAAATTAATAGGCCTTGTCTAAACTCTATTTTAAATTTCATTTTGTTTTAGAGAAACCAAACAACCAAAAGGTTGACTTGTAAAGAATGTCTTGATTGATGCATGAAATCTGCCCTTGTACCACTGTTGTACATAAAATTTAAATAAGTAAATAAATAGACCTCATTAATTTTCATCAGGCATGATTCAGGTCAAGAGCAAACTTGTATCAGTAATAATAAAAACACTTAACTCAACGTCAACCATAGTATTGTTAAAAACCAAAATAAATACACAACCCTCAATCTCAAATAATGGTTTTCATAAAAGTATTACTTACTTACTCTTTTTTATTAGAAGTTCAATCATGAAGTTTTCAACAAGTTGAACACAAAAATGAGGATAATATGGCATTGGAAACATCCTGATAATTTAAATGTAGAAACTGATCATCATTTTGTTTACAAAATAAAATAAAAAACCAGGAAAATAAAACTGCTTGTCTCTAGTTACTCAATTGGTAATGTAGTTTTGCAAGAGGTACTGGTGATTAACCCGGGGGCACTCGCTACTGGGTAAAAAATACCACAGAGTACTTACATTCAAAGCTAACTTTTTTTAAAGAGCGCGAGCAGATCGCAATTCTAGGTACCTTCAAGCTGAAACATATTCCACGCGCGGGTCACGGGGCAGCCCTTTTACGCGCGGCGCTTAGCGACAACGGACGTATAAAGTGCGTAAGGGTAAAAATTACCCAGTAGCGACTGTTTTCGTTATATTATTTTTCCGTTTGCTAATAAACATTTTTTTGTATAAGAGCTTTTTCACGATGTCTTGTCCACTAAAGGATAATACAATAGCACAATTACTAGAAGAGGAAGACGATGAAGAAGAAATTGTATCGGAAAAAGAAGATTTCAAAGAACAGGGTGAGCATGAAAGTGAAACGGAGCAGGAAGCCAGTGATTCAAACACACGCTCAGATTCAGAAGAAATTTGCCACCGTTGTCGGCCATTAGAATTAGATCAACAGACTGATAATGAATAGATTTATAAAGAATATTTAGATGATGTGCCATTGAAGTATCGCAGACTAGGGTAGTTTATTGGAAAAGACAAAAGAACTGAGTGGCAAGTCCGCGAGCCACCACGGCGTGTGCGAACGAGATCTCATAATATTATTCTACACTTGCCGGGTCCCATTGAAGAAGGAAAATGTTTCTCGTCGATGTTAGAAGCCTGGGATCTTATTTTCCCAGTCTTTCCTAAAAATAATCCACTATACAAACGTGTATATTCAAAATTTAAAATCTAACTACTCAAGAGAACGTGACTGTAAACAAACGGATACTATTGAAATAAGAGCTCTTTTTGGATTACTTTATTTGTGTGGACGACTGCGAAGTGGTCATCTAAACACAAAAGATCACTGGGAAAAGGATGAAAGTGGTAGCGATATATGTATTGCGGCTATATCATACGAAAGATTTCATTTTTTACTAAGAAGTTTACGTTGTGACGATATTCATACAAGAGCTGAGAGAAGGCAGACAGATAAGCTGGCGGCTATAAGAGAGGTTTTCCAAGAGCAAAAAGATTTTCAAAGAACATACGACTCCAATCTGTGGCGAGTGTTTTGATAGAGAAAAGTAATTTTGATTGGCGTTGATAATTTGAAGCAAGCTATTTGATGATGATTTTCTCAAACTTCAAAGTATAATTATTTTGTGTTCATTTGGTAAGGCAGTATGTCTATTTTGAATATAGATCTCAATTTTGCATGATTCTTAACAAGAAAAGTATTTTTTTGTTAATTTTTGTTAAAGATACAAAGAATTCTTAAATTTTTTGTTATTAATTAATAACTAGACCTCGTTTAAAATAAAAGATGACTGCAACTTGCATTTGTAGTTTTATCATAGAACGTGGTGTAAATAAAGATAATACATAGTCAAAATTTAAAATGTTACGAATTCCTTTAAAAAATGTCAAACTAATTCTGTGGTATTTTTTACCCAGTAGCGAGTGTTCGTGTCAGTAATTACCTAGCGAGTACCGCCGGGTTAAAGACTTAGGAGTAACTATTGACAGAAAGCTAACCTTTAAATCTCATATAAACATTATTGTTTATTAACAAAGCTGTGAAGTTCTTCGAATTTATTAAGCGCAATACAAAGGGTGTCAATTTTTTTTTATATAATGCTTTTGTAAGAAGACTCCTTGAATTCGCTAGTGTCATATGGAATCCATCTTCTAGTGTGCACCCCCAACGTGTTGAAAGTATACAGCATGCCTTTACTCGACATATTGCCTTTCATGCCAGTGGTATCTCACATAGGCAGCCTTACTATCAGCGACTGGATAAGTTTAAGGTGATGTCTCTCCAAAATAGACGAAATATTCTAGATTTGAATTTTCTACATAAAATAGTACACCATTAAGTTAAGTGCATTGACCTCCTTGACAGCATTTCGTTTGCTGTTTTGCATAAATATCCCCGTTGTCGCATCGCAAAAAAAAAATTCATATTCCTTTTGTGAAAACTCATCTCGGTAATCATGCTCCATCGTGCATATATGTGGAAAATAGAATGAATTTTCTAAATTGTTCATTGTAATTTTCAGGTGCTAGTGTTGGAACCTTCATTACCTGTTCAGGTGCCAACCACAGCCAACCCAACTACATCTTTACCTGTTCAAGTGCCAACCATATGTGAACCAACTACTGATAGCTTGAAGGTTTGTAGTACTTATAATAATTTTCACTCACATGTATAACATTATATATGTACAACATTAAAACTTGTGAAACTTTTTGTTCACATTTTTGGTCGTATAGAATGTGATGATGTTTTACTGGGCAATAGGGAATATGAATGCATTTTTTATTTGCGAAATTAATTAACTATTAGCTCTAGTAAACAATTATGAAATAATTTTTAAAGTACCTTCATCAGCGACAATGTTATAAAGCTACAAAGATACCAATTAGGGTCCGATAAAGACTATGACGGCAATTTCTGTGCCGACCATACATCTGCCATGCAAAACAACATTTTCGCGAGAGGGATAGATATAATTATTTAAAATGGTTGTATCTTGTTTGTTTTTATATCAATTTTGATTCTATTGCCCTGTTAGCATTATGTTTTGTATATTTTTAGATAAACTGTATGGTCTTATGAATATTTTTTCATGCATAGTCCCTATTTCGGGCACAGTGACCAATTTCTCGTATAAATAAGAAACAAACTAATGCTTGCTAATTATGTTATATAATGATTAATATCACCATAATGATTCTTACTCAGGTAATGTTAAAACTGATCATCACCTTTGTTCACAAAAATCGTCTCATTGTAATTTTCAGATGCTAGTGTTGGAACCTTCATTACCTGTTCAGGTGCCAACCACAGCCAACCCAACTACATCTTTACCTGTTCAAGTGCCAACCATATGTGAACCAACTACTGATAGCTTGAAGGTTTGTAGTACTTATACTAATTTTCATGAACAATCTTAATCACAGTGACCAATATCTCATAATTAAATAAGTATAATAAACAAGCTTTTGACTTTGGCGCTTGCTCAGGTATCAAGAGTTTTCTTCATTGTTTATTAACTACCTACAAGAGTGACACTGAAAGTTCTTAGAAAATCAAAAACTGAACAAACTAGGAAGTTATATTAATATAACTTAATTTTTATTATATATTATAAAAAAGCGCTGTCAAATCGTAAGTAGCTGTTTTCCTCTAGGACACGATGTTAGTTTTAACCAGGGAACCTAACCTAATTTAAATATATGTTTGTGAAGTATTCATATTAAAAACTTACCAATCATGAATTTTTAGTAATATGTATATGTCTATTCATGTCATTATATTACTTAAAACTAATATTGCAAAAAAAACAACTTATAAACTCTACTTCAAAACAAACAAATTAAATAAGCAAAATGGCGGATTGTGTCAGCGCTACTGAAGTAGCAATCGTGTCCTGGCCGAAAACTATTTCAGCGCTAGTAAGCGTTTGCTAGCGCTTTTTTCTGCCAAACGCACCCATTGTACGAAAATTTTCTAGCGTTGAGTTCATGTTGTCGTGACACAGACAATTTTCAATTTGCCGCCAAATCGTAACCAAGTGACAAATTAATAAAATACATACACAATAATATTGGTAAAGAGTTCCACTTTCAAAACTTGAACTTATTTTTTATTATATCGTTTGCAAGTGGCCAGTGCTAAAAACTTTCATTGTTGCCCTCATATGTATAGGTTTCGAACCTACAGTCTGTTTATGTATTGTTTAAGAAATGAGGATCTATATGATCACAATATTTAACTTATTTCCAGATGCCAAGGACTAAAGGGATTTTGAAGGAGCTAGATTTAAGCAAGTCATTGGAATTGACCCCTAAGAAACTTAAACTGTATAAAAGATGTAGGAGAAATTTGAGCGAAATAATGAGACTTAGAAAAAAAATTAAGAAACAACCACGTGCCCTCTTCAAAACATTAACTACAAATAGTAATGTCCAAAGTCTCATGGACAAAAATATATCAGGGCCATTTGCTTTATTGTTGCAAAGTCAACTGCAAAATACTCCCAGAAAACTAACTGGTCGGAGGTGGAGTATAGATGACAAAGTTATGGCTTTAAGCATCTATAAAAGGTCTACTGGCTGCTATAGACTGCTGAGGCGACTTTTTTGTCTACCAAGTGAAGGTACATTAAAAGCATTGCTGAATAGAATTCCGATGAAATGCGGTATAAATAGCCAAATATTCAAAACAATTAAAGATATAACTAAAAATCGAGAACCAGAAGAAAATCTGTGCATTTTGGCATTTGACGAAATGTCAATACGAAAACATTTGCAATATAATAGTAAACAAGATGTAATTGATGGTTATCAAGATCATGGAAATCAAGGCAGAACTATGGAGCCAGCCACACATGCATTGCTTTTTATGGCTATTGGAATCCGAAAGAAGTGGAAGCAGCCTTTAGCTTTCTACTGTTCTGGTGACTGTGTTACGGCTGATAGATTATCTGTTCTTATAAAAGAAGTAAGTATGCAATACAGTTGACTGAAGAAAATAAACCATTGCATACTCAATATATTATATAATTATATATTTGTATTTACAGGTACTTGATGCAAGCTTCCAAGCTGGGTTGAATGTCACAGCTACTGTATCGGACAACTTTGGTGTGAACATCAAAGCACTAAACTCCCTTGGTTCCTCAGTGGCTCAACCATATTTTGAGTTTAAAGGCCATGAAATCGTCACAATTATAGACCCACCTCACCTAATCAAATGCTTCAGAAATAATTTACTGAAGTACGACATTAAATGCCCTCAAGTATTGCAAATTGATGGAAAATCTATACCAGGTAATTTAAATGTTGTAAATAATAGATAATAAGTAGGTATGACATGAGTACATGACTAAGGTCAAAGGTGGCAATTCAAGCTTCATAAGATTTATCTTGTCTTGTGCAACCCGCCGCGCGGATGATCATCAGATTAATATAAACTAACACAGACTCAATAAATGTATTTTATTAATACTTCTGTTATTATTTATAATATATTTTACATGTTTATTATTACAGGTGTAGCCAAGTGGAGCCACATTAAATCATTCTTTGAAAAAGACAATGAAAATCCAAATTTTGTTTTTGCACCTGCTTTAACCAAGCAGCATATTGAACCCAATTTTAAACAAAAGATGAAAGTCAGCTTAGCTTGCCAAGTATTCAGCCATTCAGTTGCTGCAGGAATGCTTGCAAAGATTGCGAACAGTAAGTTGTTTTATTGGATAACTTTTAATCATCATCATCATCATCATTACAGCCCTTTACAAGTCCACTGCTGAACATAGGCCTCCCCCAAGGTATGCCACAAAGCACCGTCCTGAGCCACCTGCATCCATCGACTTCCTTCATGTCTTACCAGGTCGTCACTCCATCTAGTGGAGGGTCGCCCTACACTTCGTCTACCGGTATGAGGCTGCCACTCGAGAACCTTTTTTCCCCAACGGTTGTCGGTTCTTCGAGCTATATGGCCACCTATTTCCACTTCAGCTTACTAATCCGTTGGGCTATGGCGGTCACTCTGGTTCTACTGCGGATATCCTCATTTCTAAGTTTATTACGCAGAGAAACCCAGAGCAGCCCTCTCCATAGCTCGCTGAGCGACTTTGATCTTCCTCATAGGGCCAGCAGTGAAGGACCACGTCTCAGTTCCATATGTCATCACTGGCAACACGCACTAGTTGTACAACTTAGTTTTCTTAATTATTTTAATAATAACTTTTAATAATCTTCAAAAATAATCGACGTCTCGAAATATAATATAATAGTTTCTGAATATGTCAATCAACTATTATTAGAGCTTATTCAAATAATCATTCTAATAAGATAAAATTAAGCTACTTCGCGTTGACAGCTTTCTTTTATAATTGAATATTTTTATAAAGATTACTTTATTTAGTGTAATTTTGATTACTTATTAGGTGTAATTTTTATGCTGTACACGCTCGTCTCGTCTTGTCTCGTGCCTCCCTCCCCGACACGCTTCCAAGAGCGAACGAGGGCGCAAGACGCGACGCGGCGAACGCGTGAATTTCCCATTGTCTTCAATTTCATTTCATTTTCCCTAACCTTTCACTATAAATTAAAAAAATGAGTGTTTACTTTACAGATGAACTGCCGCAAGAAGCAACGACGACAGCCATGCTGATAGAAAAAATAGACCAGCTGTTCGACACCTTAAATGGCGATACGCCTGATCAGAAAAGAGGAAAAAAATTCCTTACAAATTTTACCCGCAGAAGTCCACATTAAATTTTTTTTAAGGAAATGAAAATCCTGTTCCAAGAATTACAATTTATTGGGGCCAGATGCAAGCCGCCTTCGCAGGAAGGTTTTATTAGAACTATAAATGCAGTTGAGCGTCTATTTTTTAATTTAGAAAGGCAATATGGTATAAAAAGTTTATCAACGCGCAGGCTCAATCAAGATCCATTAGAAAACTGTTTTGGTTGCATCCGCAGCAATTGTGGATGCAACCCGAACCCAAACACCCTACAATTTGTTGCAGCTCTCAAAACCTCCATGATCAACAATTTATTGCATAGCAGTAAAAATAAAAATTGCAAAGAAGACGATAATGTCATATTAAATGATTTAAAATCTTTTTTAAGTCAAGTTGACCAAAATAAAGAAACAAATGTAGCTGTTAAAACATTTGATTTAACAGAAGGTGTAGAAGCATCTAATACTGTAATACCTCAGTGTTCTGGAGAACTGCAAGCTTGCGCATATGTATGTGGCTTCATGATAAAAAAAATTAGTACCCATTTGCCATCAGTGCAAAATCACAATGCTTGCAGACCAGAACACAGAGGTAAGTCATTTATTCACAAGCTGAAATAATACTAGTTTTTACGGAATTTATCGCGTATATTTAACTTTTAATACCCGACGTTTCGAACGCTTTACAGCACTCATGGTCACGGGCAGGACTGTGTGTCCTTGTGTTAAATATACGCGATAAATTCCGTAAAAACTAGTATTATTTCAATGTGTAGTGTTCGCGTAAATATAAGAAATCATTATTCACAAGCTTTAAAGAATACAGTTGTATGCGCAACAGTCTACATTATGTTAATAAATTTTTTACGGAGACAGTGGAGATTGCTGCAACAATTGTTAATAAATTTTTGGATGAGCATGGGTGTAAAATAAATATAAAAAATGAACTTATAGAAATTTTAAGAAGAAAATTAAATTTCGAATGGTTGCTTGGTTGTTCTGAGCACTATGATAAAAATAAAATGCATATGATTATTTCCACTATATGTATATGTATAAAACGACACTATATTTTAAAAAATAGGCAGTTCACCGATGAAGCTTCGAAAAAAGCAATGAAAAGAAAAATAAATATTTTAAAACACGCTTACAACTTAGTTTTATTTAATACCTTTCCATAAATATGTATGCATCATGAAAATAAACCAAAATTCAGGTAATTTTCAAATTAAATACCAGAATTTCGCTTCGTTTTCATGATACATGGCATAAAATAAAATGAAATAAAATCATGAGTTTATCATCGGATTTGAAATCTGGCGCGAAAATTAGTTCATGGGTCAAAAACTGGCGCGCTAGTGTCGCAAGTTGTTGGCATTTTTTTTGTATGAAGTTTTCGTTCTTCCCGTCAGGGTAAATGTATTCTGTGCTTGCGACCGTCATCGTGAAATGTTATCAGAATGCCATGTTGTTCAGTGGTTTCTTGTGAAAACCGAAGCCAAAACAAAACTTTGTTAATCATGGAATCACATACCATACCTACGTAAAAGTATTTCATTATATTTATCTTTAAAATCATATTAAACAACAAATCGTAAAATATTTCTTTCTCTTACTACGTTATTTTTGTTTCCAAATATCACAGCCACTGTAATATTTTTGCAGCAAATACATTGCTCCATAACCACTACCTAAATATGACGCCAAGTGACTCAACAAGCAATGTAAATATCACAAAACAATACTTTATTTATGTTGATATATTGCGTAGTACAGCCGCTGTATCTTGTGACGAGCTGGTACGCGCGTACAGATCCACTATCGACAATAATGTGGATTGACGAATTACTATTATAGTTTATTCTCCAATTTGTCAACCGTTTCAACCCGATATGAAGACCGACATAATGTTTGACATACTGTTTTTCGTGACATAATGTTTTTTTTTACTTATTTTGATTATTTTACAGCAACTACTACGCTGAATGCGTAACCAAAGGTCGTAAAGTAAGTTGATTAAATTTTAAGTTAATAATCGATGGAGTGTTTTTATGTTTGAATTATCGTATATCATGCCTTATCTTCGAAAAATTTTCATAATTTTTATCGTTTTGGGGTTTAATATAATTTACAGTTTTCAAAAGCTTCGAATGTATCATAAATACTTAACCGGCATGGTTCGGATAGTATCACAGTAGTGGCTTTGGCTTCAAATTAGTTAATATAATTATTGAAGTTATTAATTATTATTTGTGTAGTTCGTTGATTTATAAAATGCGAGTGTGTGCGCGACTGCGTATCTATTGCTACTCGTATTACTAATATGTATGTGTAGTAGTTGACGCGTGGTAGGGGCCAATTGGACATACCGACCTCCGATACATTTTCAACTACTGGGCATATTATCTCCTTCTTTATTATATATATGAGCTAAAGCGTCGCTATTATAATACGGTTGCACTACGAATGGGTTGGCTTGACTGGGAAAGGACCACGCTCGCACGGAATACCAGCGTAAAATAACCCTTTTTACTGGAAACGAGGCATTCCATCGTAGTCCTTAGGAATGACAACACGTCTGCATTGTAATTCTTAATCGAGGATAGATGTGGATATCTATGGTCTACAGCATCCACTTACCATCAGGTGGACTGTGTGCTCGTTTGTCACCATGGTTCTATAAAAAAAAATACCTGCTTTGTTGCCCCAGTGCGGACTCCACACGTCCTCGATACAATCATGTTTCCTCACGAAGTTTTTCTTTACAAATGTAATTGATGCCGACTTGGATCGAACATGGGTTGAACGTGATGTGAAATTTACTCCAAACAAACTGAAATAACACCCTTACTTACAGTCCAGTGAGTGGCTATTGTACAGTCCACCTTATGGTAAGGAAATGCTGTGACTCGTAGACATCTACATCCTTCCTCGCCCAACAATCAAAAAACAGATGCACTGCCATCCCTGAGATCTTCTCTACACGCACCATACACACAAAACACAGCAATATTAAGCTGCTATTTTACGCTAGTATTCTGTAGGAGCGTGGTCCTTCCGCGGTCGAACCCACAGCAAAAGCAACAAAAAGTACAATATATTTCGGTATATAGTAGTATTCAGACATAGTATTTATGTATAGATCAGGCGCAAGACCGTCGACTTTACGTGCTATCGGAGACATGGGGGTGAAAACCGATATTTTCAAGACTCAGGGCTGCTCTGGATAGTTTCTTGACAGAAAAACTCAATAACAATTTTTTTAAGCCCGACCCGTGATTAGAACCCGTAACCTTGTGATTAACAGTCGCGTTCGCGACAACTTGCTCAAAGTGTCTAGCGAGCTGCGAGTCTGCTAGTCTAAGCGCTAAGCGCTTAGTTTAGCTTAACGCGCACTAATCGACTGTTAGTCATGAGGTCATGAGGAACACGACTGTTTATCATTCATGTCAAGGCGGTCAAAGTAGTAAATACTAAAACTTAGGTATCTAATGTCATCTTATTAAGTTAACTTGCTTATCCTTAGTTTTCATTTATTTATTTATTTATTTATTTATTTATTTGCTACTTAGTACGTATGTTACATGATATACTATTAAATACTATGCATACAACTAAGTCTCTAATGGAGACATGCAAATTTATTTATTCTTAGAAATTATATTTATACAAAATTAACACATCAAAATCAATCATTATTAAATCATTAAATTAGCAACAACAAACAATCCATCCAATTATATTCTAAAGATATCAAAAGTACCAAAAAAAAATTATAATTAACAAATAAAGTAAATTAAATT